TTTTAGCCTTTAAAAAATAAAGTCAAAACATCAAAATATCTGTTTTAGGAGTGTGTATTCTCTTAGTCTGTCTTTTATTTTTCATTTTAGAACTGGGCCACACCTTATTCTATAAAATAGAACATAGCAAACTTTAAGGACAAAGAGACTTAGAATTTGGTTGTGGGAATTTTGTCAAAAATATCAAGGTTCAGAATTTACCAAAGTAGGATCACAGGTCAATGTGAAATAATAGTCACTTATCTCAACTAGAGTGATAATTAAATGGCTTCAGAAGGCAAATGCAGAAAGTTATATAGTTGTAGAAAAACCTTAGTTCTTTATTAGAGAGTTTTCATAAGTAATCAAATAGAATAAGGACAACATGAAGCACAGAGAATCATCTTGATAAAATGCAGAATCTTTGTTTTTTTAGACCAGTTACTTAAAAAGTGAAGGAAAACTTTTCATTATTTCTAAAACTAAATACTACATTTTTATTATCTAATGTCTGGCTGGTTGCTTATACAGTTCCTGTATGTGTAATGGGAAACTCATTTATTTTGAGTTTCTGTTTGAACCTTTGCCAATTAGGCAAGAAAATGATCATTTTCCCAGTAGGTTTTGCTTTAGTATGTCAAGAGGGTCATATAACCAGTGTCTGAGGGAAAAAAATTGAAGCTGAAAAATATGTTTTTGGTTATTTCTTTCAATAAGTAAGCATTTTAAAATTTGGATTGCCCACAATCACATGACTAAAATTAATTAAATTAATTAGAGTCACCAATTATAAAGCAAGGACAATTGAATATAATCTTAATTTTAAAATAGCTGTCATATGTTGTTTTTTCCTTTTTTTTTTTGAGACAGAGTCTCTTGCTCTGTGGCCCAGGCTGGAGTGCAGTGGCGTGATCTTGGCTCACTGCAACCTCTGCCTTCTGAGTTCAGGCGTTTCTCATGCCTCAGCCTCCTGAGTAGCTGGAATTACAGGTGTATGCCACCACACCTGGCTAATTTTTGTATTTTTAATAAAGATAGGGTTTCGCCATGTTGGTCAGGCTGGTCTCAAACTCCTGGCCTCAAGTGATCTGTCTGCCTTGGCTTTTTAAAGTGTGGAATTACAGGTGTGAGCCACCACGCCCAGACCTTCTTTCTTTTCTTAATGCGACATACATGAATTTCCTGTATCACTTTTACCAGTTATTAATAAGAGTTCAAATTTGGTCACAATACTGGTACCTCGTAACTTAGAAGACGTAATTTTCCAAAATTAATTATTTGATATTCTAATTTTTAGGGATTTGGTAACAGATAAGTTTAATGGTGTAAATTTAAAATTTTTATTTTTATAGCCACAATGTGTTATGATAGTGTTAATTTGGTATGATTGTTGTAATTAACACCTATCTGACTTCAGGTGTTAATGGCTAAAAGACTTTCCTTTTCTCATTTGTGTGTTTCCTAGTATTTCTCTGAAATCTATTAATTTAGTATTTGTGGTCTTTCTTGCACTATTGACCTGTTGTATTCTAATAAACTTTTATCTACTTTTATAAATAGTACAACTAATACCAAAAGGTGATGAAATTCATAGGTAACAGCTTTGGGTTTTCATTATTATTGTTGTGGTTTTGAGATAGAGTTTCACTCTGTTGCCCGGGCTGGAGTACAGTGGTGCAGTCATTGCTCACTGCAGCCTCAAACTTATGAGGTCAAGTGATCCTCCTGCCTTGGCCTCCTAAAGTGCCCCAGGTTTTAAGTTTTCTCTTCCTTATTATTTTTTCAGCTAATTCAACTTTTAAGTTCAGTATCAGTGTTCTGAAACATTTTTGGTAAGTATTCTTTGTGAGGGTGACCCTTACCTCCTTTCACCACTCCCAGGGATAATGGAAAGGTGTCTCCTCCACTACTGTACAGATCCTGCAACAAAAGCAGTTTTTGTCCTTTGGAGCTAAAAAGTTAGCAGGTATATTGATATGAAGCCAGTCTTTCAAGAGTAATTGAGTAATCCATCTCGAATGAGGAAATATAAGAAAAAGCTTCCTCCAAATGGAATGGGGAGGGGAGAGGGAAGTTGAGAAGTTTTAGGACTGAGCAAATATGAATGCCTTTTATATATGGCCATAGAAGTAAATTGTGGCTTAGCTCACCTGATTTTATCTGTTTTTCTAATTGATACTAATCATTGTTATTATATTAGTTTCACAGAATTCACTGTGTTCATTCTAGCCCCCATGTCGTGTGGGCACATCTGACAAAACTGAATGTCTTCATGTTGTTTTCAGCTAATGGTCAAAAGCCATTCAGTAAAACTCACTATTTGGCCTGTTATAATTCATCTGATAAATTGGTTGGATATTTTGTTTGCTAATTGAGCATAAAATGCTGAAGATATTTGCCCATTTTTATTTGTTTAAAAGAAATTTTTTTTTCTTGTTGGATTTTCTCTTACTGTTCTTTTATATGTGAGCACTGTTTTTTTGCACAGTTTTGAACTTCAAGGAGCAGAGTGGTAGAAAATGTACAAACCCCCAAAATAAGGTCTAGACTAATTGGATCTTAATTTTTAAATCTCTCCTCTCAGTATCTGATGTTGTTCACTTTTTATATAATATACGGTCTCTCTATGTCACAATTAACTCTTGAGATTTATGTTAAACAAGAGAGACTTTTGTTTAAATCTCGGGTACTTGAAGAGTTTTCTCAATTTGATATTAGGGCTATGGAGAGAATTTGTTGAAGTGTTAAGAGAAATACATACTAATTTATATTTTAACGAGAGGTTATCCGTGCTCAAGGATTTACTGTGTACTTAGTGACATGTAATAATCAAGGTCATATAGAACCCTGAAGTTGAAGTTGCTTGTGTTTTTGTAGTGTGCACGTGTATTTGAGACCTTCTTTAATAACTTTCCCAGAAGCTCAGGGCATGCTGACAAAACTCTTTGCTTCTCCAGTTTATTTTGTGTTTATTTTATTCTTCAAATAAATGGTAGTTTTCTGGGAAAAGGGTCTATATTGTAGCACTCTGCCGTTTTATAAGGCTTTTGGGATTTGCTCTTGCCCTTCTAATACAAGGCAATGTGAATAATTGGAAGAGGTTTAGAGCAATTTTCTAAAGTGTGTTTTGGTAGAATACTAATTCTGTAGATTGTTAATAGATATCATATGGGATCAAAGGGGTTGTATTGTTAAATAAGTTTGGGAAGTACAGGATTCAATAATATTGAATATGTTTCTTTTGTGGAAGGCTTTTGAGAATTTTTCTTATTGAAGTGTGCTTTGTGAATTCCTAAAAGAGGAATGGATCTACAAAGATTTGAAAAGTCCAGAAACAAAGGATAGAACTTATATTTAAGTATATATACAATTGTTCTTGTGTTTACAGAGTTTAGGGCATTTTATACTTTTGTTTGCTTTTTTCAGATTAATGATTGGACCCATTGCTTTAATTTTAAAGGTACTACTTCTGAAAGGTATCTGGAGGTTGAATAAAAACATAGAGCATATAATTGGAAATGTAACTAACATACTGTTTAAAAACACACTCATCCTATCTTTCTTTCTCAGACTCACTGTATACTGTGTAAGATTTCTCAATTTTTTTCACTGGAGAGTATTTTTCATATGGATCATTTTCAGGAACTAAAGTTCCGTGTAACCTACTTTGGAAAACATAGGTCTGGCTTTAAAATAGTCTTCAATTTGACTGTATCATGAAGTGTTCAGTTTTCATAGTAGAGAAGAGATATTGCAGCAATTTGCAATGTCATATTCACTGTTAGATTTTAGTTTGGTATTTTTATCCCAGTTCTGCCAATTACTAGCTTTGTGACTCAGCTTCAGTTTTTGCATCTGCGATGGAGATAATAATAGAACTTAATTAATTTTAAGATGTAGTATCATAAATTAAATTTTTGTTCATTAAAAGGTTTTTAAATTTTTTAAAATACCATTATAAATGTAAGGCCAGTCACGGTATCATACCTTTTGGGAGACCAAAGCAGGAGGATTGCTTGAGGCCAGGCGTTCGAGACCAGCCTGGGCAACATAGTGAGAGTCTGTCTCTACAAAAAAATTTTAAAATTAGCCAGGCATAGTGGCATGTACCTGTAGTCCCACCTAGTCAGGAGGCTGAAGTGGGCGGATCACTGGAGCCCAAGAGTTCAGTTACAGTGAGCCTTGATTGTGCCACTGCATACCAGCCTGGGCCACAGAGCAAGACCCTGTCTCTAGAAAAATAAATAAATTTAACAGTGGGAGGGAAATTGGCTAAGGTTATTGCTGAACAAAATGATATCTTAGAGATTCCTAGAATGAATCATTTAGTTTTAAGGACTGATCACATTGTTTATTGATTTTGTTAAGCAAAGCATTTTGTAGTAAAGATACTTAATTGTACAAAATGTCACAATTTGAGTTTTCTATTTGTCAATGATAATTTTTAAAATGACATATTAAGATGAATGTTTTAAATTATAATACCTGTTCACAGTTGAAAATTAAAAACCATGAAGGACGGTGTAAAAAGCAAAAGCCCCACCACATTCTCTAATCTCAATCCACTAGATGTGTAAAAACCATCCACTATCTCATCTGCCATACTTATTCTGCAGCTGTAAATACTATTAACAATTTGTGGCTGGGCGCGGTGGCTCGTGCCTGTAATCCCAGCACTTTGGGAGGCTGAGGTAGGCAGATCAAGAGGTCAGGAGATCAAGACCATCCTCGCTAACACGGTGAAACCCGTCTCTATTAAAAAATACAAAAAATTAACTGAGCGTGGTGGCGGGCGCCTGTAGTCCCAACTACTCAGGAGGCTGAGGCAGGAGAATGGCGTGAACCCGGGAGGCGGAACTTGCAGTGAGCCGAGATCAGGCCACTGCACTCCAGCCTGGGCGACAGAGCAGGACTCCGTCTCAAAAAAACAAACAAACAACAGCAACAACAAAAAAGCAATTTGTAAGAAGTATGTCAAAGTCTAACTTGTTCTTTTTTTGTTTTTATTTTTTATGGTGGAGCTGTGAGTTCTTTGGAATTGTGAACATTCTTTTGAAATATGGAGCCCGGATAAATGAACTTCATTTGGCATACTGCCTGAAGTACGAGAAGTTTTCGATATTTCGCTACTTTTTGAGGAAAGGTTGCTCATTGGGACCATGGAACCATATATATGAATTTGTAAATCATGCAGTTAAAGCACAAGCAAAATATAAGGAATGGTTACCACATCTTCTGGTTGCTGGATTTGACCCACAGGTTCTACTGTGTAATTCTTGGTAAGAAATTCTACCATAGTGGGGCTTACCCTTTTTGAGTGAATATACTACCTTTAATTTCCTTCAGTTTCTTGAGATCGCAGTGTTTGGAGAAAGGTGTGTCTGTGTTTTGACTGCGATGGCTGAATTGGGGTGAAGGAGTTGGTGGCTGCTAATAGTGAGATTGAGTTTAAGCTCAGAGTCCTGGGAAAAGATAAGAGGTGACTGGAAGGAGGTATGAGGGGATAGATGCCAGTGAACTCTTCTAAGAAAGATATTTCTTCAACTTCTGGCCATTCCTCATGCTCCTCTTAAAATGCCTGTGACAGAAGAAAGAATGCTTGGAGCTGCTTTGAAGATTTCTGTTGTCTATCCCTCAGCCAACCAGACTGAATACTCCTGCCCTACAGCATCCTGTCTATTTGAAATATGTCACCCTTAATAAATACTGATTTCTGAAGTATCTGAGAATATGACTTGTTTACTTCAGGTAGTTTCTCAGAAGGGCAGTCCTCAGTGACAGATTATACAAATGCCCAGTCAGTATTTTTGGGGGGGCAAGAAGAAGACTATTAGCCTCCAGCCTTTGCAAAAATTGTTGGAGTCCTAAGACAGGTAATTGTAGTAGCGAGAGGACTCTCTTGGGCTGATAATTCAAGTCGAATGAGAAAATAAAATGGAAAATAGAGGACATGTTATTTTATAGAATTTCAGTAAAATATCTAGAAGTCTTCACTTTTGTGTTTCAATTCTCACCCCATGTGGTGTCTGTCCCTAAGGCACTCATTTTCTTCTTAGCCACACTCCTTGTGTTCTTCTACCCAAGCTCTTAACTCTGACTCAATATGACTTGCCCAGTACTTTCAGCCTTCATGCTCCTTTCTGGTTTCTAATTTATTTCTTTCTTTTAACCAAAACATATAAGCTGTCTGATACCTACTGTTGTGGTTTGAATGTGTTCTCAAATTTCAGGTGTTGGAAACAATCCTCAAATTCATTTGTTGATGATATTTGGAGGTGAGATCTTTGGGAGGTAATTAGGATTAGATAAGATCATCAAGATGGTGCCCCAGTGATGGGACTGGTGGGTGGCTTTATAAGAAGAAGAGAGACCTGAGCTGGCATGCTTTTGCTGTCTCACCGAGTGATGACCTCTGCCATGTTATGACACAGCAAGAAGGCCCTCATCAGGTGTGCCCCTTGACCTTGGACTTCCCAGTCTCTAGAACTGTAAGAAATAAATGTATTTTCTTTATAAATTACCCAGTCTCAGGTATTGAGTAATAGCAACAGAGAATGGACTAAGACAGAAATGTGGTACTGAGAAGTGGGGCTGTTGCTAATAACGATTACCTAAGAATGTGGAAGTGGCTTTTGAACTAGATAATGGGTAGAGGCTGATAAAGTTTGGAAGAACAGTCTAGAAAAAGCCTGTATTTCCATAAATGGAGTGTTAAGGGTGACTCTGGTGAGTGCTCAAAGATGAGAAGACTAGGAGAGTCTGACCTTTCTTAGAGATTATTTAAGTAGTTGTGACCAAAATGTTCATAGAAATATGGATAGCAAAGGCCATTTTGACAAGGTCTCAGATGAAAATGAGCAATACCCTATTGGAAACTGGAGTAAACGCCATCCTTGTTATGAATTAGTGAAGAACTGGGATGAACTCTATCTATGCCTAAGGACTTTATGGAAGGCTAAATTTAAGAGTGATGAACTAGGATATCTGGTAGGAGAAATAACTAAGTAGCAAAGCATTCAGGCTGCTGCATGGCTACTTTTGGCCACTTATAGTGAGATGTGAGGGCAAAGGAATGACTTGGGACAGAGCCTATAATTAAAAGGGAAGAAGAGTAGAAAAATTTAGAAAATTCTCAGCCTGGCTGTGTGGAAAAGAATGAAAGAGAATGTTCAGGAGAGGAACCCAAGGTTGTGACTAGCAACCCTTTGCTGAGCAGATTTGTACAAATAGAAAGTACCATCAAGACAATTAGAAAAAAACCTTGAAGGCATTCCAGAGATCTTTGAGGCTGCGCCTCCCATCATAGGCCCAGGGCTCTAGGAGGTCAGAATGGTTTTCAGGAGGGTTTGTGGGGTGGTACTAATTCTGCAGGCATGTAGAATGCAAGAGCTGTGGGGGCATGGATTCTTCCACCTAGATTCCAGAGGTTGTTGAAAACAGTCTAGGGGCTCAGGCAGAGACCTGTCCCAGGGGAGGAGCCACTGCAGAGAGCCTCTCTAGAGCAATGCCCAGTGGAAATGTAGGGTTAGAGCTGCCACAGTTTCTACCACGGCAATGCCTAGAGGACCCATGGGAGCAGGGCTGCCATCGAGACCTCAGGACTGTAGAGCTACCAGCATGCAGTGCCATCTTGGGAGAGCTAAAGTCTGGGCAAAGCCATAGGGGTGGGACTGAGCCCAGCAAAGTCATAGGGGTGGAGCTTCCTGAGGTAGTGGAGGCTCAACTCCCATCCCAGTTTATCCAGGAAGCTTGACATGGAGTCATGGAAGATTATCTTGGAGTTTCAAGGTAATCCTCTTGAATTCTGGACTTATTTGGGTCCTATTATTCTTTGCTTCTTGGATATGTCTCCCTTTTGGAATGGGAATGTTTGTCTTACGCCTGTCCCACCATTGAATTTTGGAAGTATATAACTTGTTTGATTTCACAGGCTCACAGCTGGCAGAAATTTAAGGTGAATTATGCCTTGAGTCTCACCCCCATGAGATACCAAAATCCATGTGTTACTGGAAAGGGGTCCCGATCTAGACCCCAAGAGAGGGTTCTCGGATCTCGTACGAGAAAGAATTTGGGGCAAGTCCATAGAGTTAAATGAAAGCACGTTTATTAACAAAGTAAGGGAACAAAAGAATGGCTATTCCATAGGCAGAGCAGCAGCATGGGCTGCTGAGCTGCTTATACTTACTGTTACTTCTTGGTTACATGCTAAACAAGGGGTGAATGATTCATGAATGAGTTTTCCAAGAAAGGGGTGGGCAAGTCCCAGGACTGTGGGTTCTCCCCATTTTTAGACTATCTAGAGTAACTTCCTAAAGTTTCCGTGGCATTGGTAAACTGTCATGGGGCCGGTGGGAGTGTCTCCTAGCATGCTAATGCATTATAATTAGCATATAATGAACAATGAGGATGACCAGAGATAACTTTCATCACCATCTTTGTTTTGATGGGGTTTGGCCAGCTTCTTGACAAGTGCTGTTTCATCAGCAAGGTCTTTGTGACCTGTATCTTGTGCGGGCCTCCTGTCTCATCCTGTGACTAAGAATGCCTTAATTTCCTGGGCATGTAGCCCAGTAGGTCTCAGCCTTATTTTACCTAGCCCCTATTCAAGATGGAGTTGCTCTGGTTCATACACCTCTGACACATGGATGCTCAAGTCCCTTATGTAAAATGGCATAGTATTTGTGTCTAGTCTATGCACTTCCTCCCTTCTACTTTGTCATCTCTAGATTACTTATAATACCTAATGCCATATAAATGCTATGTAAATAGTTGTTGTACTGTATTTTTAAATTTTTGTTATTTTTTATTGTTGTATTGTTATTTTTTATTATTGTTGTTAGTATTCTCAATCTACCATTGGTTGACTCTTCGGATGTGGAGGATGAGTTCTGTTACTCAATTTTAGTAATCCTTAATCCCTTGCCTAACCTGAGGGATCTGTACCAATTTTTCATGCTTCTTTCTGCTCCTAAATTAGGAAAAACCTAAGCAGGGGAAAAAAATCAAACATTGCCTGTTATCCTTTCCTCCCCAGCCAACTAAATGAACTACTTGTAGGGAGAAGGATTTATTTAGCTTTATTCTCTTAGAAGGCTTTGTAAATGTATCCTCCCTTTCCCCAGTTCTGATACAGCTCCCCCATTTTCCCCCACTTGTGAACAGTTGAGAATTTTTGTGACAATAAGCCGTTGGGTATGTGCTGTATATATCGGATATGTGAAATAGAAGAGTTAAGAACTAGTAAACTAGAAACTATTTTGAAGTAAGTTGTAAAACTTTCAGTATTCTGAATGGAGAATGCCAATTACATGTTTTTTACTCCTGAAGAGTAAGTAACTTTGGTTACTTTGTATTAATTAGAAAAAATACAGTGGAAAATTTCACTTTAGCAATGAAAATGCTTAACATGTTCAAATTTTTGTTCACTGATATTTTATTGAATGGGTAAACCAATGTTTACACTGCATATGATAAATGTTTTGCTTTCTTTGATCAAATTTACATTCAAAGAACTATTACAAGAAACATTCTATAAAAATTCCAATATATTGTTAAAGGGGATTTTGATTGTTATTTAAATCACATGCAGATCTGTTGCTTATCTTTGTCACGTAAATTATAAACATATTTTCTGGGTATTGCTTGTCTTAAGCATCTGGCTGAATAATTGCCTGTCACAATATTTAAATGCAAGACTAAGTCTTCCTTTACCTGCGCACCCCACCCCCATGTAATGGGAGAATAGAACATAAATGTCGTTTGTGTATTTAGTTGATTAAATGTCACTCGTTTGTGATTGTACAACTGCTCTATACAATGTAATGGTCACTGTAGTAAAGTAACAATACATTTTTGTGGCATTATCAGTGTTGGTAAAATAAACTCACCATCATATTAACTAAAGCTGTGCAAACAGATTTACTTGTCTTGTATATGTTCAGATAACTGCATAAAAATGACTTTGTGTTTGGTCACAGTAAGACCTAAAGCGCATTAAGGCAGAAAAATGAAATCATTAAAAAAAGAAATAAAGAACCAGAACAAAGTAACCTTTGGTTTGGGACCCTTAAGAAGTCAAGGAAATTGTTAGTCTTTGAATATATTTTATCATTTCATTTATCCTCAGTATTTCCTGATAAGTTGTGATTTCACTGATGTCTCCTGAGAAATAAAATGTTTTCCCAAGACATCTGTGCTACACTTTAAGTTCTTCCTTAGATGTTTGCATGTGGGAGAATTAAGAATTTGGGAAATAATTTTCATAATCTTTAGTCCATCATTTCAAAGATATTTTGACTCCAAATTACCAGAAGTGTCTTTGAGATGATAAGCTTAGATTATTATTCAGCTTTTCTTTCCTTATATTTCCTTTCCTTCTTTAGTTGTTGCTCAGTACTATTTCCAAAGAGGTGACCGTGAGAAGAATTTCTGTTTTGGTAGTAATTACCAGAAGCCCTAGTGACTTTTTTTTCTCCAGCCATTGTGATGGTAGGGGAGTGTCTAATTGAATACAGGATAAGTAATCTTGTTAGGATTTAGAGTTCTTTTAAGGGCTTGACTGAATTTTAAAGCTTCTAAAAATATAATACTGAAGTTTTCAAATCATTTCTGGTAATACCAGTTTTTCATATAATACTTTATAGTTTTAAAAGTATGTTTACTTTGTTATCTCATATTATTTTCACATATAGTTCCCTGTAATGGGCAGATTATGTATTATTCTCATTTTAAAGAGCAGGAGCTAGAGCTTAAAGAATTCAGGCAACCTGTTTATAAGTAGCAGAAGCAATATTAAACAGCAAGACTTTTCTTAAGCCAGTGCTCTTTCCATTAGGCTTCAAGTACTTATAAATTTTGGGTTAGCCTCTTTTGAGTGGGTTGGTAGGGAATCTGACATTATTTTGAGAGAACAGAGGAAAGCCTATTTGGAACCCTTTCTTTCAGTCCTTAAAGACAAGTCTTATTCTGTTACATCACTTAGGGCTGAATTTATAATGGGGGAAGGTTCTTAGAGGAGAACAGCTGTGCATGCCTGGGAGTTGGGCAGAAAGAAGCCATACTTGTACACTTGTACACTCAGGGATAACTTGGGGTATTTGGGCTTTATCCTTTTAGGATTATTAAATTATATGTCTCTAAGGATGGTCAATTTACATTTGGCAAGATAGTCCAAATGGGAGGAAATAATGGCAGATCCACTGATGTCGTTGGTTCTGTCACCCATGAGAAGGGAAGTTCCTACTCTCTGTGAGGTTCCTTTTGTCATCTCGTAGACAGCTACATAGAAAGTCAGTTCAGTTAATAGGAACCTGTAGCTGATTCTTCATATCCACTGATTTTGCCTGTAGTTACATAAATACTGAACATGCCCTGATTTTCTGTCTGCCCTCCTCATTGAGATTTTGTAAGAATATGTATATGGTGTTTGTTTCTAGTACGAACCCTTGGCATGTTTTGTTTCTAATATATTAACATCTTGCTAACATAGGATCGACTCAGTCAGCATTGACACCCTTACCTTCACTTTGGAGTTTACTAATTGGAAGACACTTCCGCCAGCTGTTGAAAGGATGCTCTCTGCTCGTGCCTCAAACGCTTGGATTCTACAGCAACATATTGGTAAGAAAGAATAACTTTTAAACACACTTCACTTCTTTTCCTTCTCTTGCTTCTCTAGCTGTGTTGTAATTATAAGTGAAAAGATTCATTGGCAAACACAAATTAGACATAATTTTGCATTTTTTCTCATGTGAGGAAAAGATGGCATTGTTAGGGAGATGGCTACTAATTCCCTTCAGTAAAAATCATACCTGATTTTATAAGCTTAACCTAAGAAACATACAAAGAAAAGCAGATGCTTACTGATATTTTAATTTTATGATATCCTTTTATTTTTAATAAGGATTATATACACAAAAGTAGGTCCAAAAAATCTGCTTATTCTGTATTTAGTTTCTGGTCAGAAAAATGCTAAACTTAATTTTTCTCTTTGGAATGTCTGTGGAGTTATGTTCTCTGTGTAATATTTTATCGCATCTAAAAGGAAATGTAACCATTCTTTATACCTGTCCTTACTGAATGTATACCAGTCTGTTGGTATGGTATAACTATAGAGATAAGCTGAGTGAACATTCTGTGAATTGGTTGATATTTTAAAAGACTATTCTAGAACAAAATTTCAACTTACCTCACTTAAAAAAATTTTAAACTAGTTGAAAAAATGAAAGAACACACAGTGGGGGAAGATTTCACACAAGGAACAAGTTTAAACATAACATATGCAAAGTATCCCTATTTACTTTTTCAGATTTATTTTTCTTTGACTGTATTTTGTTAACCATGTTATATGTCTTAAGTTAGGAAAATTGTTTCTTCACTGCTATTTTTACATGAAATGTAACTCTTCATAAAACGTTTTGAATAGGTTTTTAACAAGTGAACTTATTCATATGGAGGAGTGTGTCTTCTAATGTTTTGGAAAATTACATTTAAGTAAATTTTCTCAATCAAAAACAGACATTCAGGAAGATATGCCTTTGAACTGAGGTGTATTCAAACTGTTAGAGAGGTTTCTGTTAAAGAAAAATAATTCATTTGGAGTCTTTGAGCCTTCTAGTATAGAATTTCTTTAATGATAATGCTGGAAAATTCACTCCGTGTAACTCTCAATGTTGAGAATTGTGTCTGCTTTTACTAATTATGTATCTACAGCAGTAGAGAACAAATATCTATTCAGAACAGATAGACTATGGAACAATGGATTTGAGAACAAAGAGTCAAAAGAGGGAGCATATGCCAAATGGGAAAAGTATTGCTACGTATCAATTAGTAAGGATATGTGGGAGTTTACCCTGAGACCTTAACATATGGCATGTTTGTCCAGATGAAGGTAAAAATTGTGCATGAGTACTACATTACCCTGCAGTAGACTAAATCCATCAAGGGCTTCTTGTTTAATTAAGTACTAGGTAGAGCTTGTGTAGGGTAATAATCATCATCTATTGAGAGATTTTTATTTCAGCTGAAGATTCAAAAAAGCCTTTCTCAGAGGCTTTTTCTGAGCTAATGTAGCTAATGGTTTTCTGGTTTGTTTCTTTAACCAAGCCCTCTTTTCTTGTTTCCAGTCTCATATATCCAACTATCTTTTGGACATTTCCATTTGCTGTCTCACATCTTGACATATCCAAAATTGAACTTATTATTTTTACTACAAATTCTTCTGTTCTGTCTCTTTTTCCTGGTTCAGGAGGTGAGGTGGTTTGGGAGTGTTATTTACCAAGAGAGTGAGTTAACACTGGAAGCTGTTTGTTATTTTATCCGTAGCATAGGGGTGATTTTTGCCCCCCTATAGACATTTGGTAATGTCTGCAGACATTTTTTTGGTTGTCACAATGGTTAGGGATGCTGTTGCCATCTAAGGGGTAGAGGCCAGGGATCCTGCTAAGCATCCTACAGTGCACAAGGCAGCCTCCTACAATAAAGAATTATCTGGCTACAAATGTCAGTAGCGCCGAGGTTGAGAAATCCGGATCCACAGTGATTCTTGTGTTGTCCTATCATGGAAAGGCTTTTTATCCCTCTCCTTGTTACAACCTACTTGGGGAAAGCTTGTATTCTTCCTCCTACTTATATTGGTCTCTCAGGGTATTCTTTGGTGCTTCCTCTTCTGCAGATAGTAGGCACCATTACAATGCTGGAATTTTAGTAAGACAGAGAAAAACTTAGTTGCCTGGCTTTCAGATGGCATTGTGACTCTTCCTTTCTATAATTCAGGGCTCTCTTGGGGGCACCCTTTTCTCATCAATTTTCAGGATAATAAATTTCTGCATGTTGGTCATCAGGACTCCCTCCTTTACTGGGATTTTGAGCTACAGGATCTCTAGTAAGCAGAAACATGATCAGGGTTTTAACACTAATGGGCACGAGCCTAGCAGGACAACTGTTTGATTAACCTCTTTACAAGACTAACCTTGCTTTTACCCCTCTTCCTCCAATAACTTATCATGATATTAACAACTGCTGCCTTATCAATATGTTAAAAAAATTTTTTTTGAAAAGATACCTCTTGCACCTCTGCCACTGTTAGTAAACTCTTAGATAATTCCTAGCTTCCTAGCTCCACTCAGTATTCAATTTCTGTCCCTTGGGAAAGATTTTTCTTCCATTTTTTATTTAAGCCCTTTTCAAGTCCTATAGATGCCATGTACTTGGTCAAAATTATTCTTTCCTCCCCTTTTTTCTCCCTAAGTAAGTAGCAACTTGCCATGGTAGTTTATAAACAAAAGTAACAACACATTTCTTGCTTCTCATATTTTAATCATTGAGCCAGATTTGTCTTCAAAAAGTTTCTTGCATCCAAAAGGAAATGTATACCAGGTAAAATTTACTGAGTGGTTGCAGTTTCAGTAACTGTCTTTTAATCAAGTGCCTCTTACATACCTCTTAGAAACATCAGGCTAACCACGTTGCAATAGATGTCTTACTCAAAAAATTTGCCAACTTCTGGTCAGGTCTAAGTAATTAAATTATTATGGATAAAAGCACATGGCTTTAGTTCGTCCTGAACCTTTAATGATTAGATATATATAATTCTCTCCAGAGTGTTAAATGGATCTGGATCCTACAAAGGGTCCTTTAAAGGACCCCAGGAAACTCTCTTGATCTTTTTATTTCAGTGTTTCCTTGCTTTGTTCTGAAAAGGATTTAAAGCAGTTTATATAATACATATATATTATCACAAAACAGTAAAACAAAAGTAGAAGGAAAAGAAAAATGAAAAAAAAAAAAGGTGGGGGATAGATTAAAAAAATGGAGTCAGGGAAAGCGTAGCAATGGGAATTTGATACTTGTCTATGGATAGGCTGTATGTTTGACTCTGAGCTCTGTTGTCATTGACACTAGGTGACAGGGTTCATAAGATCAAATAAACCTGTTCCTCAGAATAGATTTTCTTGGATGCTGTTACAGCTTCCTAGACAATGTCTTGGTAGCTGTGGTTTCTTGGGACTTCTTTTACGTGGATTGTTGTTTTCATACCAAAGTGCAATTCAGTAAAAGCAGTTCTTAAGTAGTCATTACAGTGTGGTTCAGGTACCCCGACTTCCGTTGCTGTGACTTGACGAAGAACTAGATTTTAGAATATCTGGGAATGGATGGCCTGTGTGCCTTTTGAGCAGTTCTCTCTAAATATTGTATGTCTCAACTCAGTTTTTAATTTAATTAATTAATTAATTAATTTGTGGGGGCAAGGTCTTGCTCTGTTGCCTAGGCTAGAGTGCAGTGGCACGATCATGGCTCACTGCAGCCTCTACCTCCTGGGCTCAAGCAGTCTTCCCACCTCAGCCTCTTGAGTAGCTGGGATCACAGGCATGTGCCACCACGCCCAGCTAATTTTTGTATTTTTTATTGAGGCAGGGTTTCGCCATGTTTCCTGGGCTGCTCTTGAACTTCTCCTGGGCTCAAATGATCCTTCTGCCTCAGCCTCCCAAAGTGCCGGTATTATAGACACGAGACACTGTGCCTAGCTTCAGCTTAGTTTTTAATAGTAGTACGTAGCAATGAGTTCAAAGTTATACTACCTAAGAAGTATGAGAATGCAGATATTTTGTATTGCAAATTGAATTGAGAACATATTTTTAAGTAACAGTTGATCTTAAAAGTAGAAGCAAAAGAAAAATGAATAATGAAGGTTGATCTGTGGTAGGGTGAGTACTCCAGGAACATTATAAGGATTCCTAACTAAATATGGTGGGTTAAGCAAGTATCCAGTTTAAGCAAAAATTTCCCTTGAAACTTTGAGCAATGCCTCTAGTTTTGAGCAATGTTCTTTTCTCACATAGACTTCAAGATAAATAATCTGTGGTAAGTACACCAAGGTAACTACATATGATAGTTTATTTTATGTGATTGTTAGATGCAGAAACAAAGCTTAGGGTTAGGAATAGTTGGTCTGTAATCCTTTCTGGTAACAATGAGCTAGCATTCCAGTTGTCTGCTAAAACCATTTCTAGTTTAGGATAATAAAACATTAGTTTTTAAAAGAATATTTGTTTTTCTGTTTTCTTTAGCAAGAACATGTATCTTGCTCAGTTTATAACACATCATTAAGTTACTTGTTAAAAAGATGAGAGTTGGAGCACAACCTTATTTTATGCCAAAGAAAAATTTTAACTTTTCTGCTGACTTCAACCCTATGGTAATGATCTGGTGCAGGTTCTGCATGGACAGCAGACAGAATATAATGGTTGAAGGTTGGAGCTCTAGAATTAAATAGACATGCCTCCACCACTTTCTCTCTTTTTTTTCCTTTGACTACCCAAATTTATTCATTTTAAACTTGACATGATTTATCTTTTTAAACTCTTAATATAGCACTAGAACCTCTTTAAAATTTCATGGAAAGAAAGGATTTATGACATATATTTAAAATTTATTGGCTAAAATTAAAAAAAATTTTTTTGATCAATTTATTTCAGGCCATTGTAATCTGGTTTATATGGTCCTGGAGGAATAATCATGTACCGCAAATCCTTTTTTTTTTTTTTTTTAAATTATACTTTAAGTTCTGGGATACATATGCAGAACATCATGGTTTGTTACATAGGTATACACGTGCCCTG